GGAAGAGGTAGGTGCTCATTTGAGGTTGGGCACTTAAAAAGTACTTTTGGGGGGTGGGCGCTTATTAACTTTTTCTACCTTCAGGGTGGGCACTTATTCGAGGTGGGCGCTTATTCCAGGTTGGGCGCTACATATAAATATGGTAATAGAAGTTTTTGTCAACAAATGTTACAAATGTTATAAATAAACTCGAGTTTGTTGCCTGGTGAAACAGTTTGATTGAATTTTATTAAATTTGTAGAGTACATAACAACAATGACGCCAGAAATCAAGTTTTGTATCTTGAATGTTGTAATCTTGACCCTAGGTACCTAATTTTTACTTCAACGCAGTGCAGTAAATGAATGTTTAAATGTAGCTTATTAATTTTTTTCCTCTTAGTTTTTTGTAGTATTTTGTTTTTCGTTTCTTTCACTGTATTGTTATTTTATTTTTTGTACTGATCGTAATTATGTCTGTTTAATGGAAAAAACCAATTAAAAATTAAAAAAAAATAATAAAGGAGAGAGATTTTTATTTAGTTCTCTGACATTTGAGGACGAGCTAGGGAATCTCAATGAAAACTACCTCATAGAATTCCTACAGTGCTACTGGGCAAAGGTCATTCCAGTTCAATGACTCTCTTGAAATGCTAATTAATCATATCAAGTTGTCTTGAGCCAAAACAACGACACTTTTAGCAAACCTTGTGGTTGAAGTTTTAACATGTTAAACACTGTCTTATCTTTTGGCATCTTAGAAACAACGGTGAAAAAGTTATCCAGCAAACCTTGTGTTCCCTTCGCAGCCATGTGATAAATGCATGTGAGTTTTCAGTCACAGGCAATGTCACACTGAACTGTTGTGTAACAGCAGAGAGGAGTCCTGGTAACTACTTGGTATGCAGCGCAGTCGACTTTATGATATATTGAGAAACCTACTTTGTCATTACGTTTCTTGGAAGAAAAGCCTCCAATTCGGAAGTGAGATGCTTAACTTTTCGCAATTTCACCAAGGAAATGAATATGCTGGTCAGACTTGTTCGGTATCTAAACTATTGGAGTCGTTTCGTTAGTGAAGTAGCCGGTGATTTTCGTCAGAGTAGCCAGGATAATCGCCGGCTGCTGGCTGCTAATGACAGCCCTGGATCTACATCACTGACTGCTAGATATTATACTGTGCTATGGTCATAAATATAGATAGAAATAAAAATTTATGAAAACCATTTTAGGGGAAATTGTACCTGTTAAAACTAATTTAGCTGATGCTTCAGCAACATCTAATGCAGTCTTTCCATCTGTATTTCGAATATTAGGGTCAGCACCATGTTGCAAAAGAACTAGTTAAAATTGAAAATAAAACAATACAATAAATTAGAGACATACCAGTATTCAAGGTGAGGTAATTACATGAATTAGAATATACTGTATGTCCCGGGATCTAAAGGAACCTTACCATGGAGATGTAAAAATAAATGACATAGCACACTGCCAAGTGAAAAAAATCACTTACCCACACATACATCCACTTTTCCTTTTACTGCAGCCTCGTGTAAAGGAGTATAATTCCAGTTGTCTCTTGAATTAGGGTCAGCACCATGACGCAACAGTAATCTGACGACTTCCGCATGGCCAAATGAACAGGCATTATGTAGCGGTATCAAACCTCCTATAGTATATGTATAATAATTGTTTCAATAAGTCTCACTCAGTTTATCCCTTTAATCAGATTTCCCACTTTTCACTTGTGAATCATTCCAAAGTCTTCTCAAAATGTGTAGTCCCAGAAAATATCCATACTACCCCACAGAAGGGATTAGAATTTCCTGGGGGGTGCGGGTTCTGGAAGACCAAAAAATTTAAAGAAATGTATGAAGCTTAACTGGAATTTCCAGAGGGGTGGGAGGGGGTCTTAGAAAAAATCCCTTCCTTGGGGAACGTATGGATATTTTCTGGAACTACACAAGAAACCTTTTTACTTATATGGCGACCATTTAAAACAATACAATTCCAAATGGCTGCTGTATCAGTAAAAAGGTCTACTGTGCAAGTACAGACTCTATCACTCCATTTTACATAGCCCTGGCATAATACTCTTACATTTAGCTATAAATACATGAAAATTGTTAAACATTACAGTAACTGTACTAGCTAATTTTGAAATTAAGTTGCTCTTTTCAACTTAAGATCAAAGTCGGCAGTATGTTCAGTGTGACAAATCCTGTGCCTCTCCATTCACATGTTAGAACTTGCATACATATTTTCTTGTGCAGGATATAATAACATGTTACATTGGCGTGTACACATCTTTCAACACAAATTTAGTTACAATGTATAGCACAAGTCAATTTTGAGCCCAAGCCAAGTAAGAGGTTAACTGACCATGCGAAGAGAGATGCCTGTTTTAGCTACAGCATAATAGGGTACTACCAGGGGGATGAACTTACTACTCCCAGACATCAGCTGCATATGAGGTATGTGCCACTTTGAAGGGTATTGATTTTAAGCAGTTTAGTAAGGGAGAAGGCTTAGATTTTATGGTTAGAGTAGTGAACATTGTGCAGTCGAACTTCCACTAATGGCCTCATCTCTACAATGGCCATATCTCTACAATGGCCACTTTGTTTGGTTCCAGTAGACAGTCTATACTTTCACTCTTACTTTAACCTCTCTACAACAGCCACCTGTCCACGACGGCAATGGTCTCTGAAACGAATGATACCAGTTTTGCCTCATGGCGAGTTCGCCCCCACTATAAAATTTCTATTTTGAGTTCACCCCAAAATTTTGTGTTCATATTTATGTAGTTCTTATCGAGTTATTAAACGTTTTCGAAGAACCATTTCAGTCCATGTATGTTTGATCAGCTTAGATGATGATTGTTCACTTGTTGCAGCTGGCACGCACATAGCAACAAAGTCAAACGGTTACTGGTCATCTTGCCACCACTAGAGAGTCTCGCCACCAACGAACTCGCCACCAAGCGAAGTCACCTTGCCACTAAGCCAAGTTTCCTTGCCAAGGCAATGGATAAAAAAAAACGAGGAATAATCTCTATATGCAACTTGATCTGGCTGGGGGCAAACTCGATCAAGTTGAGTCGATGTGGGGGCGAACTCAGAGGGGGCGAACTTGCCATGGGGAGAAACCGGCAGCTACCTCTAAAACACATCCTGACTGCCAAAATAACCTCTTGACAAAGGCTAGGACTTAATGACTGACAAGTGGTGTACATAAAATCCTATTTTTCATTGTAAAAGGTCACTAAACTTGATCCGTACCGCATGTAATTGGTCTCTGTTTCTGTTTAAGTGATATATTTTGATTGTGAAAGTGAAGAATGATCGTCGCAGTTAATTTTCCAATTTAAGCAACTGGAAAGAAGAAGCCTGAAAAAAATCAGGGCTTCAACGGGATTCGAACCC